TTTTTAGTGCTCTTGTGTCAAAATTACTTGAGACACAATTCAAATTCTGTATCTGGTTTTGATATTTAATGAGAACTACATTAATGAACCATTTATGATAATTAGCACTTTCACTCACAAAGCTTGGTGTGCCTTGGTTACAAAGCTGGCAGAGCAGTGACTGGTACACTTGATGATTAATTACTATTTTTTAGCTTGTTGAAATTGAGGTAGCTGTTTTTCTTTGGTGGACAATCCTATTCAATAAGCTGTTTATTTTTCAAAATTTTTTTGCACCTTCTCGTATCTTGAAGAATCATATGATCTATGTTAAGTGTGAGCAAAGGTATCATTGTTTTTCTTTTTATTTTGTGAAATAGCGGATTTTGGTTTTGCTCGTTACCTGCATAGCAACATGATGGCTGCAACACTGTGTGGGTCCCCGATGTACATGGTGAGTGAGTGAGTGTGTCCTCTTGTGTTTAAAGCACAGCACCATAAGCACTGGAATTTAATTATAATGCTTGTTTCCAAGTAAGATGTGATTTTATATGTAGTCTGAATTGTTACTTATATTGCTAACGTTAATTATATTACCAGTAATGCTTTAAACAGTCTTTTGCTTTAGCATAGTGGACTATAAAAGTAAGTAATTTTTGCCCGTTTGTTTTTACTTTTTAAAAAGATTAATTATTATGGTACAAATTCTCTATTAGATTAAATTTAAAGTAAAAATTCATGAAGTACAGTCGTACTATACTTGATGTGTAATATTAGGGATACTTAAAGACATCTTTTGGGGGCACCTGTTCAACTATAGGATATACTCATCTTTTGCATGTAGTCTCTCTTGATAAGATCCCTATATTGTAGAAATTTTTCCCATCAGCCTTACACTTAAAGCTGAAAAATCTTAGCTTTCCTCTTTATCCTTTCATGTAGATGTTATCATGTGCAACAGGGCTTGGTATGAAACTTCTGAACTGATTTGAAGTATTAAGCCTGGTACTACCTTAATTCTGGAGCTACAGAATTATGTGAAGTTACCATGTATCTTTTTCAGTTCTAAGTGGGTTTTTTTTATTTTTTTTATTTTTATTTTTTCCTTTTTGTCTTTTTTCGTGACCGGCAACGGATCGCAACCCTCAGTGTCGCGCCCGTACCGGACCG